ATTAGAACCTTGGCATCAGACTACAGAGCAACTTTGATTTTTCTTCTCACATTATTTTTCTCTCCCTCCCGTAGTACTGAACTCTGGTTTATTACAAGGATGTCTTCTGCTCTCATGTGAATGCAATCTATTGTTTACAAATCACTTATGTGTCATCTTCCCCATCAGTTTCCAATCAATATGAGGATTTCGTCTTCCTCCAAATTTTGTACATGTAACCCACAGGCTGCAAGTTCCCCTTTTGTGTCTTGCTTATTACCCCCAACTACCACCAAGGCCTTCTTTTTAAGTTAGTTTTTAGCTTTATTTATGAAAGTAAATGTTAAATGATATGTTTCTCACTATAACTTTCAAACATTACCATCTCAGTCAATAAGAAATGTGCCAGCTAGAATGACCATATGTCATTAAAAATGCAACAAAAAGAAAAGACAAGAAATACCTCCCCATAGTGTGGAGCTTGAAATAAGGGTGGCTGGCTGAGTGAACCTCACCCTTGTCCCAGTTTTCCCAGGTTTCTCTGAATCCCTTTCTCTTATTATTTTTTGCTATATGATAATGTTCCATTATATTCATCTACCATAATTTGTTCAGTCATTCCCAGTTGACAGATATTTCCTCAAAGGTAGCTAGATGGTACAGTGGATAGAGTACTGCATCTGGAATCAGGAAAACCTGAGTTCAAATCCAGCCTCTGACACTCTGACACTGGGTAACCCCTGGGCAAAACACTTAACTTCTGTTTACCTCAGTTCCCTTATCTATAAAATGGAGATAATAATAGCACCTACCACTCAGGGCTTTTGTGAGGATCAAATGAGATGTTATCTATAAAGCACTTTACAAATCTTAAATTAGTCTTTAATGCTTCTGCTAATATTAGTTTACAATTTGTTTTCACTACCAACAGTGATGATATGTATATACATATATGTGTATACATACATACATGTGTATACATACATACATACATGCATATATATTTTGTATATGTGTTTCCTTTACCTCTTTCTTCGACCTCTTTGGGAGAAGACCTAGTATTGGTATAACTGGATCAAAAAGAATGCACAGTTTAGTGACTTGGTAGTTAGTTATCAGTAGCCTTGAAGAATGGCTGGATCAATTCATAGCTCCTCCAGTGTTATATCAATATGCCTGTTTTCCTGAATCCCCTCCAACAATGTCATTTGTATGCTTCCCTTTTTAGAATTATGGCTATGAAAGGGAAGAGTAATATAAGATGGCAGACTTTCAGACATTCAGGGTTAAGTGCAGTTTTAAATGTCAGGGGTGTCCTGGGAGTGTTGGTAGACCACAAGGAAAAAGCCTCTAGATAAAGATATTGAAGATGAAAAAGAGAAAGGATGTTCATAGCTTAGCTTATTTCCTTCATAGCATTAGTCCCATCAAATTCCAATTCCACCCCACCTTACTGCCACCCCTACAACCCTGGCTTCTCAGGCCTTTTCTGATGGACTGGCTGCAACAATCTGGACTTAAAGATCCCCATGGCCTGAACTCCTCTGGCAGAGACTCCACTCCCTCTACCTACAACTGAAAAGGATAAACAAAACAAGACCAACACCCCAAGCCCATTTCACAGGGCCTAAGGGGAGGGAAAAGTAGCTCTCAGGACCTTCCTTCCCCAGCTTAGTATGTGGTGCCCCTGCTGTTCACCCCTAGTTCTTGTTGCTGATCATTTGTTTCAGTCATGTCTGACTGTTCATAACTTCATTTTGGGTTTCCTTAATAAATATACTGGAGTTGTTTGCCACTTCTTCTCCTGATGAGGAGGCTGAGGCAAACTGGGTCACATAGCTTGTAAGTACCTGAGGCCAGATTTAAACTCAGGAAGATAAATATTCCTGATTCTAGGCCAGACATTCTATCTACTGAACCACCCAGATGCCCCTAGACATCACAGGAAAAACAGAGCTATGATTCTAGTCCAGGAAAAGAGGGCTCTCACACACATGGGAGGTCAACATGGAATGTCCATGCCTGTGACTGTCTCCTAGAAGCAAGTTGTTGGCATCACTCATGGGGGTGCCTCCATTTTAGGTGATCTGGGATCACTAAATACCTATTACAACATCAAGATCATATATGACTGGAAAAGACAGTTGGGCCAGTCCTGTATCCCGGTGAAGGGACAAAGGAGACATAGCTCAAGGGTAGTCCTGGTATTTATAAAATATAAAAGTGACCTAGAGGATGCCTCCCATACATTGAGAGGAGAAAGCCCTAAGAACTAGAAGGGAAAGGAAAGACTCATGGGAGAGGGAGTTCCTGAGTTGAGAGTTAAAAAATTAGGCAATATAATCAGTGTCAACATCCATTAGCAGAATATGGAATGTGGATTGTGGGCAGCATCAGGCAGTCTGGTTTGGCTGGAAAATCATTTGTGAAATGCAATAGTAGGAATATCGTGATGCCTTCACTAGGGAAGTTTGGCAGGGAGACATTTTTATGACAGAATAGATCGAGTTACATGTTGGGCATTCTGAGTTCAAAAGGCCTACAAACATTCAGCGTGTATCCATCAAGGAGTTGATGACAGATAATTTGAGTTCAGCAGGGAAATTAGAGCTAGATATAATGATTTGGGAACAATGCTTAAGGAGATAAGATATTTGAACTTACTGGTGCTGATGAGATGTCCAAAGAAGTTCACTTAGATCAAAGGTTCTTAGGGTTCCACAGGTAAATTTTAGGGAGCCCATGAACTTGGATGAGAAAAAAAAAGAGATTGTTATTTACACTAACCTGCAACTGAAAGGCAGTATTTCCTTCAATTATTTAAAAATATGATTTTGAGGAGTCCCTAGGGTTACTGATTGGGTTCATGACACACAAACCAGGATAGGAATCTCTGATTAAGATTGAGAATAAAAGAGGCCTCAGGACAGATAGCATTTAAGAGATGATTTATCATGAGAGAGTGGTTTTATTAGAGAGATGAGATGTGAAATCAGATGGATAAGTGAGTAGGTAGTCACATGTTAGAGGCTGTAGATGCTGGTGGTTTTCTGTATGTTTGTTAGTGACAGAGTGAAGAAATATTGGATGACAGCTTGAGGTATATAGGTATACCAGGTATGTAGATTTTGGTTTTTTTTTTAAAGAAGGGAGCTCTCAATTCTTGTACTTTTTTTCATTTGCTCTTTTTCCCTCAGAAGTTATTCCAAAGCCTCTTTAAGTCCCTTGTACTTTATCTTTTCTAAGTTTTACTCTCCAGAATCCCCAGTGTTATGAAGATTAAAGAAGATATTGTATATAAAATGTTTTACAGACCTTAAAGCAGTATTTAAATGTTAGGTGTTACCCACTATTATATGTATCTGGTGGGGAAATACAAAAAGGTAGATAATCACTTGTCACTAATCATGGAGCTGGGTGTTAGACTAGATAACATATAGTTCCTTTCAATTATAGAATTCTATGATTTATGAAATTCTGGTGGATACTAAAGAGAGGGCAATCACCAAGCAGAGGTGGAATAAGAATGAGAGATGTTTTTAAGGTGCCATGTTAAAAAAAAATTCCTTCAACCCACGAAATTTTCATAATCAGTCATTCTTTGAAGATCCTCAGGAAAAAAAAAAGTTGATCTTAACTGGGTTAAGTTGTTATATTTCCTGGGAGGAGAAACATATTAGTAGAGATGTTTATTGAGTTAATTTCATGACTACTTCTGTGGATCAGATCCAGGATTCCAAGGACAGAGTTAAAGCCATGCTCCCCTTATGCATACTGTAATGTTTATTGATCACATACAAATCACCCTTCGAGCTTTATTCGAGCTTTATTTCACATGTTTTGCCTGAGGCCCAGCTAGATTCTGGATTATGCCCTAGTGACCTGCCTTACTGCTGATAGATATGTAAGTTTCTTTTTTTTTTTCTTTTCGAGAGCTCATCAAAAATGAATAAATGAAACATTTTACATGACAACAGTCTTGACACCATAGCCAATCATGAATAACAAGTACCGTTCTGCTTTATTTTTTATCAGTTGCTTGATCCCTTTATAAAACAGAGTTCTTTTGGATCAGTAAAGCTTTCATTGATTTCCATTTTTACTATCTGAATGGAAGACTCCATTTGGTACTTAACATTTTCTAGAAAGCTAGCTACTCAAGTAAAGTTTGTTTCTTATAGTTTTCTGCCAGTTTGGTATGATTTTTGTAGTCAGTAATTTGTCTAAATATTTTTTAAATGAAATGAAGTGATTACAACATTCCTCTTAAGAAAAAAGTGCGATGTACTTACATTGTACATGAAATTATTGAGGACCAGCAGCTAGAGAAACCATTATAAACTGGTATCTGTTTTGATCAAAACACTGGATTCCATCATTTTAACACTTCCTTTTAGTGATATTTAATATTTATTAAGATATGTGAAACTTGAGAATATGTTGAAAAGCTCAATGAAGATCTTTCAAGCAAGCTTGCAAGATAAACCACTAAGGAATCAATAGAGGAAAGACTTTGCCAGTCTTCCTGGAATAATCTAATTGATTTTTTTACTCTTTATTGTTTCCCCTCTCATATTATGATGAAATACCAGGGTGTTTAGAACAATATAATCAAATAATAGAATACTTTAAAATACTAGAAGTTAAGTTTCACATGTGTGAAACTTAAAAAAGAGCTCTAATTTCTGTTGGAATTTTGTATTCTCTAACAGACAGACCACACTGAATTCTGTTATCTTTTATGCCTATAGTAGTTAACCAATGCTTATAGATTCATGAGATTCTAGATAACAGCTTTTCTTCCTGTAGCGTTCCCATATTTTTGTTTTATAAACATTAATTACTGCAAGTTCAGAATAATTGTTTTCCTTCACAAGTTTTATACCAACCTGCAATCTCTTCATTGGACGACATTACTCAATTCTACTTTCATCAGTATTGGGTCTATTTTAATACCTATTAGTTGATCAGGAGTAAAACCAGAATTTCTTCACTGAACCTTTCCTTTTTGCCTTTCTTAGTGCCCAGCAAAGAAGCAGTCAGGTTCACAAGAAGAGTGCAGTTGGAAATCAGGTAGGAATTTTGTAAGAGAATCACTAACTGCATGCTTGAATGAACTGGAGCCAAATTGCTTTATTTACAATTTTTTGGATGCAAATAATTTTATGCAAATTCTGCTTGACATGCAGCTTGTGTTTCATCTTTTAAGTTTGCAGAATGAAATATAGTCATTTCATTAGTTGTTTTGTGCTGCTAACAGTTTGATTTCTTTTTAATAACTTCTGCTATTTGCATAGCTTTTTGAATTTCCACTTCCTATCCTCTATGTACTATTTTACCTACTTATGTTACCCCTAAATTTAATTTGATGATCACTGAATCTGAGTCAGTTCAAGGATAAAGTGCTGGTGAGTACTTGCATGGGCTTTCTGGTGCCGCTTACTAGTTCACACATTTGCACAGCTTGGTAACAGTGAAGGGACAGCTCATAGAGGAAGGCTGTTGCAACTTGATTTGCTCTTTGTCAGAATTTCTTTTGGCTTTATGAAGATGTTAATTACGAACATTGATTTGGTCTTTAAAATATTCATCCTTTAGGTTCATCAGCTGTCTCTGACTAATCATAGTGCTTTGCAGAGATTGCATTAACTGAAAGTTTGCTGTTTCTGTTATGTTTTGTGTGATAATGAATATTTGCATTGTTATTTCTTTTCAAGTCAAAACAATGAGGATTCTGTAACTAGTGTAAATTTTCATGATGCAGAGATAAATGGGAACCTCTGTGATTGAATTTTATGATTTTCATTGTTTTGAAGGGAGAAGGAATAAATGACTCAGATTTTTCTCTAGAAACTTTTTTTCTTAACTAAAACACAATTCTTTGCTATTTCAGGGAACCAATCTTCCGCCTTCAAGGCAAATTGTACGAGCTAAGTTCTGTAAGCTTTACTGTTGCTTTTTCATTCCGCTTCCCCAAGTGCAAAGTTTGTCTTTAACTAATTAACTCAACTAGCGCTTGCTACTAGTTTTTTTTAAACCGAGGCTATCTTCTCTATAACATCCTCTCACTGAAATGAGAACCTCAGGAAGGTTCGTCCCTTCACTGCTAATAACTCGCTGTGATTTACAAGTATGAACTAGTGTAATGTAATATGCTTTGGTATCAAGCCATTAACACTACGGATGCTTTGATATTCCTGTAATTGTATGGGTCTTATAATCATTAAAATCATTAATTGACTAAAACCTCTATCCTTTTATGCTTTATTATTATAAGGTAAAAGTTTCCCACTCCTGATTTATGATATTTCCAATAAATACAAACTATGTTTCTTGGAAAGGTGGATGAATTTTTTGGCATCTGATTTTTTTTGTGTGTGTATGGGTACCAAAACCCCATTTCACTAAAGTTCATGAAAATAAATAGGTAACAGCAACCTTAAATTGGGTGACATTTCTCATGAATCAAGATCTAATCTTTTTAAAGACAGCAATAGGGAAAGGGACTAGGCCTGTGACTTCTTTGGCATAGGAAAAGGCCAGAGAACCTTAGAACCAACATTCTGTGGGTACAGAAAGACTGCTGTGTGACCTTTGATTTCGCATGGGCAGAAGGGATTCTGCTGAGGTTTTTTCTTAGACCATTCACACTTAATTTTTAGCAGGGATAAAGTGAAACCTGAAGTTTGGATGAGAAAGTCTCACTTTCCACTAAAGTATGTGTATATCCTGTTTGAGAACAAAATGAACTTGTTCCTCATTTAATGAAGCTTTTGAAGGAAAGAGATTAGGTATGCCAACATTGTTAGCATCATTAAAAATGAATTTTTTAAAAATAAAAATATGCAGCGAATTATTCTGAGGAGACTAATGTGAAAATTGAGATTTTTTTTTCTCTAGCAAAAAACTCTTTCGTATTCATCCAACAAACAATAAACATTAAGTACTTACTATACAACAGGAATTGTGCCAGGGCTGAGAACACATACAAAGACCAAAAAAAAGTCACCCCTGCCTTCAGTGGGCTTACATTCTAAGGCATAATTGTAAATCCCTCTTTTCTAACTTGAAAAATTCTCTCTAACCCTAAAAGTGTGTGTGTATATGTATATATGTATGTGTATATATATATATATACATACATATATATACATATATATTATAATATATGGCATATTATATGCACATATTTCATCAGTATTGAGAGGGAATGAAATGCAATATTTAGTTGCATAATAATGAGGAGTAAAATCATAATCATCTGTGATTTTTTACTAAATACTGTAATGCCACCTTTTAAAGAAGCTATAGCATTCTGAAGGATAAAACCAGAGCAATAGTGTCAAATGCAGCATATACTATTTGTTCCAGCATTACTAGCATGTTATTATATACAATGTTATTTTGCAAATATTTCTTTGGGTTACTTTTTTTTCTTGGCTTGACTGCAGTGGGCTTTAAATTATGAAATGGAACAACTTTATTTATGAATCTGGATGTTTGTATTTGTGTGACCTGGAAATGACTTATTACTGTGATGAGGTATTACTAGATTTCTGTTTTCTTCTATTAACTTATCTTCTCACACTTCATCTTTGGCTTTTAATGCTGTCGTCTGAGGTTTTGGCCTGACTTGGAAAGGTTTCTTTTTAAGCCGCAGGTTAGTCTGTCTTCTAATATATTTGAAATAACAAAAGCAACCTTTTATTCAGCATCTTAGCTAGCGATTTTGGCAACTGGAACAAGCTTCACAAAACACTCTCGGGTAAGCGGCGTGGAAGTATTTCCAAATTAATTTATGAAGACAAATTAAGTTGTCAGGGGATATTCTTTGACATAAAGCTTCATGGGGAAAGACATTCATGACATCGTGAAACAAACTGCTAGGGAGGTTGCATGTAGATAGGAGCAGGGTTAGTCAGGGCTAAGGAGGATTTCACTTCTGAAATGGACCTAGTGGTAGGTGACAGATTGGATTGGAGCCATGTAGGAACTTCCTATTTTAACTAATTATGCTTGATAACTAGATAATAAGTTTAATTGTTGCTCCAGATGTTGAAAAAGTGTATGTAATATATAGCACTGTCAATATGGAGTAAAGCCCAACCATGTTTCTAGTTCAGCCTATGTTTTACACAAAAATTTCAGCTAGCAAGAAGGGAATCATGAAGACTGACCATTTCTCAACTCTACATTGTTTTGTGGATTTGTATTATTGTTACTTGATAATTTTTTGGTATGTTGAATATTTTTCCTAGTGCCTTATTGAATTTGACTTGTGGTAAGCATCCCACTATTGATTCTCTTATTAGAACTATTTATCCAATTAACTATGTAAGAATTATTTACATAATTCCATTTGTAGTATAAAAGTGCCTTTTCTGATGAACACTGAAGTTATTTAAATGATCTAATGAATGAATATTAACCATCTCATTGCTAGCCAGTCAATCAGTTATTCAGCTAACATTAAGTTATTATGTGCTAGAGATAAAAAGAAAGGCCAAAACAGTTGCCTCTTTAGAAGCTGGAGAAAGGAACCATGCAAACAACTATTTACAAACAAATGTCAAAATTGGGAGGGGAGGAGAAAGAAGCTTAAGTTCTCCCCATCCTTCTGCACCTTCCTGCCAAGCAATTCCCCCCTCAGTGGCTTGGCTGGAGCTGTTATCTCCTCTATGTTAACAGATGTTTGAATGTCTGGGTTTTGAGCTCACTTTCCATTGCAGCATACATTGGCTTAGTGCTATTGATTCAATAGAGATAGTCACACCTGATAAAGGTATTAGGGCTAGAGAATTTTGTCAGTTCTTTTAATTGGGTGAAGAGGGATTGAGTGTATCAATTGACTTCCTCTCTTTCCCTCCCCCTTCACATACTTATCATTAGTATTACAGTATATGATAACCAAATAACATAAAATGATGTTTCTTGTTGCCTTTTGCTATATGGTAAAACCCACTCTACCAATTTTTCTTTGCTCCTCAAAAAGTACTTGTGAGTCATTTTTGGTTCTTGCTGCAACTTCCTTCTTTTGGTTTCACTTATGGCAGGAATGTCAAGACTGATTTAATTTACTTTCCCCAGCAATATGTCTATTCACTGGTAATTGGGAAAGGCTCTTACATTTAAAGTACCAACAATGAAATTAAGATTTCTTGACAGTTTAAAACTTGCATGATTCAGCTCCCTTTGCCAGAACTTTTTCACTGTCACTATATAATCCAAAAGACACCATATAGGAATGAGGGTCATTTAATTTTTTTCTTGTTTTATTGGTTGCCACTATCATAGTTTCTCTATAGTATTTTTCTTTAATTCTTTAAAATATTAGAATTCAGCTTGGTTTTAGTTCTTTGCTTCTAGGGAAAAGGCAAGATAGACTAGAAATTGCATTTGACTGAGAGTCAGAAAATGTGGGCTTGCGTGCCATCTTTGCTATTTGTGTAACCATGAAGAAAATCACTTAATTTCTTTGGGACTCAATTTTCCCATCTGTAAAATGAGATGTAATCTTTAAGGCCCCTTCTAACTTATGAGGTATTGGAGTTTTATATTTCCCTTCACCATCAATGAGTATCTAGATTAAATACAGTATTACATATGTAGTCTGAGTACAATTAGACTAAACCTTCCTCATTCTGATATTTAAGCTAGCATTAGTTTTTTAAAAAATTTTTTTTAGCTGTGATGTTCTGTTGCTGACACATTGAGCTTTCAGTCCACTAACACTTGTAGGATCATCACATCTGCCCTCTCCTCTACTCATGCTCTTGATTTTTTTTTAACCCTCTTTAAGGACTTTACATTTAACCTTATTAAGTCTCAGCTTATGTTGTCCTAGCCTATCAAAATTTCTTTGTCATTCAGTTCATCAGTAAATTCCTCACAGCTTTCTGTCTTTCACAAATCTGATGCTTTGTCAAAGTCATTGTCAAGACTGTAAATTGGGGGGCAGCTAGGTGGTGCACTGGATAGAGAACCAGTCCTGAAGTCAGGAGGACCTGAATTCAAATCTGGCCTCAGACTAAACACTTGACACATACTAGCTGTGTGACCCTGGGCAAGTCACTTAACCCCAATTACCTGGCCCCCTGCACCCCCTCCTCCAAAAAAAGAATGTAAATTGGAATAAAGCAAAGGAGAGAGCTTTGCACATTTCTTTAGAGAGTTCCCTCCAGGTTGATATCTGTTCATTAGTCATTACTCTCTGGGTCTGGTTATTCAACCAGTTCTGAATTCTCCTAACTATCATTCAGCCCAAATAATCTAGAGGCAACTAGGTAGCTCAGTGAATAGAGCACAGACTTGAGTTCAAATGTGGCCTCAAACACTTACTTAGCTATATGACCCTGGAAAAATCATTTAACCTATTTGCCTCAGTTTCCTTATCTGTAAAATAAGGATAATAATAATAATAATACCTACATCTCAGGGTTGTTGCGAACATCAAATGAAATAATAATTGTAAAAGTGTTTAACATAATGCCTGGCACATAGTAAGCACTATATAAATGCTATTATTATTAATCCAATAACCATTTATTAAACATTTACTATATAAAAGGCACTCTATCAAATCCTAGGGAACACAAAGACAGAACAAGAACATTCCCTGACCAAAGGGTTTATGTTCTACTATGGGGGGTATATTAGCAGGTAAAGGAATTAGTTTCTGTAACCCCACCTCTGGACTCACCCCCCCCCCCAATCACACACACGATTGTCCCAATCCATGGGACAATCGGGGTCAAGCTTAGAGAACAGATGGGGCCAGACAGGGTCACTCGTGGTCTCAGGTTACTCGACCTCCTTTTCTCCCTTCGGGCAGTTTTTCATGAAGTTTCAGTTGGGTGTGATTGTGCTGGACTCCCTTGTGGAATACTAAAGTAGTTTATACTTTTAATTGATTAATTCAATACA